TGCTCGTTCGGAAACTTGAAACTTTCTGCAAGTACATTTCTTTTTTAGCTATCGTTTCTATTGCTTCTCAACCATTGTATCTCCGAATTACTGCTCGTAGTGCTGCCACAATGGCTGGCTGTGTACATACAGCTCCAAGTACATGCTTGACGTACCTGTATTTGTGCAATCCGCTGTTGCACTTTCACAATCTTCGAGCATTTCATAGCTGTTTTCATTTCCGGCACAGCCGCCGTAGGTAAAATGCTCGCATGCGCCCGTGACAACATTGTAGCCGTATCTTTCAACTGCTCCTCTGCAGGGTCCCCCTGCTATAGCCGCATAACATTTGTCGAAGGGAGCTGAAAAGCGGAAGGCAAATATGAGCTAGCGGGCCATTTAGGATGGACCTAGTAGTTGAAGAGCACTTCTGACGATATTGAATGTGTATGCCTGTGGTAGCCGGAGGCTTGTAGATCCTTCTGAATATGTGCATAGATGGTTAGAGGGAGGGCAAATGCTAGCACAGGATCAGGAAGGCCCTGAGACTACTATCTTTGAGCCCTCCACAAAAACTATGCGTGTTTCAAATTTTTCTCTTGCCTTGTTGGGGAATTACAGTCTACTTCAGGACTCCAAAATGGCTACTTGTTTATTGACCCAATTAGATCCAGTTACGGCCAAATCCGTTTCCAACGAATGCCATCTGCAATTCAAACATCTTTACCATTTCACACATACTACATTTAATTTCGGCAAGAAGAATCAATACTGCCTGTCACATACGTTAACTTTGGCTGCTAAAGCAAAAATATTGACTGAACAGAGAAATATGGCAGTGTCGATAGATGTATATGGACGTGCAAAATGGCCATTAACGCGTCACATGCTGGAATCCATTTGGGATCCCGACTTCCCCATCAGCATTCTTAGTTGAGCCGCAATCACTGACTCACAGGTTATCTGTGGAATGACTTACTCCCACAAGCCAAATTCCTGTTCACTATGTGATATTTTTACTTAAATGCTAAAGTAGTTAGGATTATATTGGTATGTATTGTACTCAACAGTTTGGAGAGGATTGTTGTAGTCGGTTTAGGAGCAGTAGAATCAGATAAGGTCGAGGCTGAACTTGTACTATACCCTACCGGCTGCACGGATACCACCAAATAGCTCAGCTAGGTGTTTCTCCAGAACTCTATCGCAGCTTGACAAAGCTGCGGGAGGTCTTGCTCATAGAGCTTTTCCTATTTGCCGTCTGGGTGACATTGTAGTTTGAAAGTTCCTGAGATGTCAATTTATGTTCTCGTTATAGGTCAGTATATTCAAGGTCTATGAGTGTAGACCGAAACTGCGTTCACGTATGGCGTTAGATTTTAAAGCCGTTGGACTATAAATTGGGCTCTTCGTTTGCGACGACAAATTACTGATTTGTTTAAGGCCTAAGACAATCTACTAAACTTAAATATCTAGCCTAACTGCTATCTTAAAAGAGCAGTCATGATTACTAGTGATTACAACTCATCATGCCTAATACCAAAATTCACTTTAAACCAATTGCGCGTTTCTGCAAATACTATTGTAACAAATAATGTGTCTGTTCGGAAACTTGAAATATTTTTTCAAATTAATTTCTTTTTAGCTATCGTTTCTACTGCTTCTCAACCATGTCATTTTATCTGCTATCTCTGTCTCTCTCTCTCTCTCTGATTTACGGATTGAAGTGCTGCTACAGTCACTGGCTGGGTACATGCTGTTCCATATACCTGCTCGACGTACCTTTATTTTGGCATTTTGCTATCGCGTATTCACATTTTTCGTGCGTTTCATATTTGTTTGCGTTTCCGTCACAGCCACCGTAGGTGAATGGCTTGCATGTGCCCGTGACAGCATCGTAGCCGTATCGAGGTACTGGCTCTTTGCAAGGTCCCGCTTCTATAGGCGCATTGCACTTGTCGAAGGGAGCTGAAAAGCAGAAGCAGTGTGTGAGCCAGTGGGCTATTAAAGAGCAATCTAATGGTTAAATAACACTTATGACAGGCCAACATAGCTTATTAGCGTACTGCTTGAAATGAAAAGGAAACCCGATGCATTCATCGACTGGTGCCCACTTTCCCCGATCGAAGCAGCCTCTTGGTGCAATGGATGGCCTTTGAGCCTCTGATTAAAAAGGTCGTGAGTTCGAGGCTCGGGTGG